AGAGCTACTCCACTTTCTTCCCTACCTGTCAGCAGACAGTAGGGACTGTGTCTTCTTTAGTTCTGTCTCCCTGCATCTATTTTGCTTACAGTAAGCACTCAATAAATATTTGTTGAATGGATCAATTTAAACCGTACTTTGAGGTCAAAAGTCAAAAGAAATTTGTCCTGAGTTTTATAGCTAATGAGGTAAAAACAGGCCTCAGTTTAGAGTCATTTTGGGAGGTAGGAGAACCCTAAGCTAATTTGAGAAGATTCAGTTTCACGTTTAGATCTTTCTAACTCTTTGGCTGTTGGGACTAAGAGGTTCTTTCTTCCTTTCTTCCTTCTTTCTTTCTTTCTTTTTTCTTGACAGGCAGAGTTAGACAGTGAGAGAGAGAGAGACAGAGAGAAAGGTCTTCATTCCGTTGGTTCACTCCCCAAATGGCCAATCCAAAGCCAGGAGCCAGGTGCCTCCTCTTGGTCTCCCATGCAGGTGCAGGGCCCAAGGACCTGGGCCATCCTCCACTGCCTTCCTGGGCCACAGCAGAGAGCTGGACTGGAAGAGGAGCAATTGGGACAGAATCCGGTGCCCCAACCGGGACTAGGAACCAGGGACACCGGCGCTGCAGGCGGAGGATTAGCCCAGTGAACCGCTGCGCCGGCCGGAGGTTCTTTCTTAATGGGGATGATAGCTTCCAAGATTATTCTGAAAATTGAATTAAAGTGTATGTGAAAGTTCACAATTAATTATAGTGACAAACAAAAAGCATGATGCTGTTAATTTTTATCTTAAGCAGTTTGTTCTTTGGATGACAATAAAATGATTCTTTGAGAGTGTTGGAAGAAAAAAAATCTTCAGCTCAAGATTTAAGTAACTAAAAATATTCAACCCCAGAGGTAGCACAGACATAGACTAATTTTTTCCATCTGTGCAGTTTAGGGTAGATTTGGCATATACTCAATACCAGGCAAGAAAGAAGCTATGGTTTAGGCTAAAAAAAAAAAAGGGGGCAGAAAAGGAAATGATTTCCTTTTATAAGCATGAATGTTAAAATAGGAAAAGCCTCCACCGAGTAATTCCCCACTGAAGAAAGATGATTTGATCTACGTCTCTCCCTCCCCCCCTCCCCCACTCTAGTTTCCTTCTGATAAGTCTGTTGCTTCCTGTATCACGGTCTACACATTATGGTGACTTCCTCTTCAGTGAAGGAAAGCAATCGAGATTATTCTTAATCAACCACGTGTGACTCATGGGTCAAAAGAGCAGTTCTTCACACAGTCATCTCCCTAATTACTAATATTTAAGGATCTGGTTTTCTGAGCCGCAGAGTGAAATATTATGGCTTTCAGATTAGGCCCCACCCAAGATGCCTCAGCAAGAGCCCGAGTCTGAAGTTGAGAAACTGGCTTGAGGAAAAAGATAAAGTCGCAGAGAGAACCATGGTGGGCAAGCTGATGAGTCACTGCCCCCTCCTTGAACTTCAGGAATGGCGAGATGGAAGGGAGGAACAAAGGCCGTACCCACTGCAGACCAGGGCTTCCATGAAACTCAGGAGGATTTAAAGGACTACATGGGTTCTTAAAGGCAATAAATGTAATTTCCATGGTCAAGTTGTTAAGTGCATCAAAGAAAGGACGTTGTGAAAACTAAACTGTATTATAATTTACCATCAGAGCTATCATACTAAATCCGATTGTTTTATTCTCTTGCATAAATCTTGAATGACAGCACATCACTGCCAGATCAAGTCTAAACTTATAAAAGCATAGAATATGCTTCATGTTGTGAAACTAACCTTTCTTGTTAGCTTCATGTTCTAGTTAATTCTTGTTCCATATCTTGGAAGGCATGGGAGGTTGCTTGTAATTTCCCAAAGAAAGATGAAAGATACCTTTAAAAATTTATTTTTTTAAAAGGCAGAGCAGGGAGGGGGATCTTCCACTCACTGTTTGACTCCTTAAATGCCTGCAACAGCTGGAGCTGGGCCAGGCTGAGACCAGCAGCTTGGAACTCCATCCCTGTCTTTCACATGGGTAGCAAGGACTTGAGTGCTTGGATTCTTGTCTGCTGCCTTCCCAGGTGCATTAGCAGGGAGCTGGATTGGAAGCGGAGGAGCAGGAAGTAAGAGCTTCATCTGCAGCCCACCCCGTGGAAGATACTTTTAATCTCTCATTTGTTAACACTATTCTCTCTCTCTCTGCCCAAAACTCTTACACCAGCTGGTAGACTCCTAATTGTGCTTCAAGGAAAAAACAAGTATAATGCCTCAAGTGTCATTTCTTCTGGATAGCTTTCTCACCTCCCACTCTTTCCAACTACTCAGAATGAAGGTTCTTTCATCTAGAGAGTCAAAGCAATTCAGCTTTTGTTAAATTACTTGACCCAGTAAATGAGATGCACTCATGGGCTTCTAACCTCTAACTCACTGCATATTCCCTGAAAGCAAGTGTGAGCATGTCACTGTGCAATTCTTGCCACACTACAGAATAATATGGGCTTATTGAATATATCCTAAAATTAAGAGGACCAAAACATACATAGATTTTTCTAGGCCTAGGAATTATACATGTCGCTCCCTGTCTTCGTGGAGGAACGACACAGGACCCTGCGCTGTTCTTTTGTCTGCTCGGTCCTCCCCGGGTGTGCTGCTGGTTCTTCCCGGGTTGGCTGCCGTCCCTTCCACCTCCGTGGAAGGGCGGTTCCCCCTGGCCACTTTCCCCACTTCCGCAGGGGAGCGGCACACCGCCGGCCGGCTCTCTCGGGGGCTGCACAGGTGTTCCTCTTAGATAGATGTTCCCCTTAGATGTTCCTGGTGCATGTTGTCTCTCTCCTCCTTTATAGTCCTCTTCCGCCAATCCCAACTCTGCTACCCACACGCCGAGTACGCTGCTCTCCTCCAATCAGGAGCAGGTCCTACAGTTTATTGGTTGAACTGGAGGCAGCTGTGTAGAAGCTGTTTCTCCCTTCTCAGCGCCATATTGTGGGAGAGCAGATGCATAGAATAAGTCTTAATTCCAGTAACTTAGTCTAGTCCGAGTTGCTCCCCACAATACACTGGGACCAGAAAATGTATGTTAAATCCACACACATGATACTTAAAAAAAATTATTTATTTACCTGAAAGGCAGAATTACAGAGCGATAGAAGGGGAGAGAGAGAGAGATCTTCCATCTACTGGTTCACTCCCCAAATGGCCGCAATGGCTGGAGTTGGACTAGTCCGAAGCCAAAGAGCCCAGAGCTTCTCCTGAGTCTCCCACATAGTTGGGAGGGGCCCAAGCACTTGGGCCATCCTCCACTGGTTTCCCAGGCACATTAACAGGGAGCCGGGTTGGAAGTGGAGCAGTCAGGACTCCAACCAGTGCCCATATGGGATGCCAGTGCAGCAAGCAGCAGCTTTACTACCCCACAATGCTGGGCCCCACTTTTGGTCTTCACAGAATGTATGCAATTTACTTTTATTAAAAAGAGGTGTCATGAATATATTTCTCTAGATAAAACCTTATTAACTCATTTTCTACTTAAAATTAGCTTTTCCGTGATGCAGTCAGCCAGAGGTAGGTGAGCACTTGGGAATATTCTCCAACTGGAGTGCAATCCCACTGGGGCTTGCGTCAATCAGTGCCCCTCTGCCTTGCTTTTGTTCTTCAAAGAGCCCCTCACTCAACCATGGCCTTTGAAGGCTTGCGCTGAACAGAAACCAGATGAACTCTTGAATTTTAAACTTGTTGCATTTTCTATGGTTACACTTTTCTTCTCTAATGGAACAAGTTTAACTGAAGAAGTGTATAATGCAGAATCAACTCATTTCCTCCCCACCATGTATCTATTATTGCCCACCTTGTTCCAGAAGAAATTTAAATGAGATTAAAAGAAAAAAAAAAATCCCAAGCCAAATTGTTCCACACTCATTCCTTTGGAAAACTTTGGAAAGGTTTTCCACATGCCAGTAACAGCATTTCCTGAAGCATCTTTTGTGTAGGCATCATTACAACAAATGATGCCTACAGGTCACTTCTTCCCTAGGACCAGCATGAGCTGGTTTAACGTTCAAATCAGTGACTTCTGCCCTCACCCGGGGTACATAACCATGTAGGTAACCAGCGCGTGTCTTGACTAACTAAGATCATAACTGATTCACGTCTGGAGGTGCTCAAAGGGTACAGCATACAGATTAGGAGTGGGAGTCCTGGAGTCATTCTGTCTGCCTGCGTTTGAACCAGGCCATACCTCTAACCGGTTATGTGACCCTTCTACAAGTTGCTTAACCTCTGTGTCTCAACTATCTTATCAGTTAAAAAAAACGAATAATAACAGTGTCTACCTCTTAGGTGACTTAAATGTGCAAAGCACTTAGAATTGTGGTGTCTGGCACATTAAGCACTCAATAAGCATTGGCCCTTATACTGTGTATTGTATGTAAAGATTAAAGGAAGGGACGATCATTTTTAGAACAAACTTTATTTACAAAACAGTAACTCAGTCTGCTTTAGTGTCGCTATTGACAACATGTATACAACTGAGATCGTACCTAAAAGAGATACATTGTGCCTTTCACAGGACACCAGAATACAACACTATTCCAGTTTCCTGTTCCTGAGGTGGCTCTGAATGCGTCTTAAAACAAACAAACAAACAAACACCAAACAACACAAAATCAAGAGAAACTCAAACTCTATAAGGTACAATGACTTAAGCAAACCACTTTTAAAATTTTTCTTCCTATTTGAGGGTTATATTGAGGCTATTCATCTAAAATTTGCTATTTACAGAGAAAGCCCTAGAGAATGGGATAACTTAAAGACAGAGGGTTGGTTTATCTGGTGTTCATACAATAATATAAAAATGGCTTTATAAGAATGTAAATAAATAACATTGGCAAACAGTATCTGCTGATAATTCTCTGATAAACTCATGTATCTAATGTCATGTTGAGGATCCAAGGGGATTCTTGCACAAACTGTATTTAAAATTTTTAATTTCTCCTGTTTGCTGATTGTCACAAAGTCTTACTCCATCTTAAAGCAGTTATCCCCAATATAACATTTGGTCACCAGTACCCATAGAAACCTAGCTGCCTATTTTTTTTTTTTTTTAATTTTTAGTTTACTTATTTTCAGTTTTTATCTGAGAAGCAGAGAGACAGACAGGGAGATGGAGAGTGATCTTCCAATCGCTGGTTCATTCCTCACATGTCGACAATAGCCAGGGCCGAGCTGGGCCAGACAGAAGCCAGGAGCCTGGAACCCAGTCCGTTTTTCCCACATGGGCTGCAGGAACCCAGATACTTGAGCCATCGTCTGATGATTCCTGGTGTGCACATTAGCAGAAAGCTGGATTGGAAGAGGAGGAGCTGGGATTCAGTCCAGACACTGGAGATGGAACGTGAGCGTCCCAAGCTCACATTATGCCACCGTGCCACATGCTTCCAATGGCCTGGTGATGCTCAGATGAGCTCCATACACGCGTGGTTGATACCCAGGTGGGCGCTAATACCCTTTATTCAGCAATGTGATGGTACCTGGAGTCAAGCTGTAAGAAAAGCTCCTCCAGATGGGGAAGCAGCTGTGACTGTACAGAATCTCCTCCTATCTGAATTTAATATACCTTCAGGACGCAGAGGGCGAGGAAGAAGCACACGTAGAAGAAAAAAAAATCCTATTGGCAGAAATTCAACTGAGGTAACTAATTTGGGATAGCAAATAAATACATTTTTGTTTTCCAAGAAATCACTGGCAAATCCTTAATAATAATTTTAAGGTTGACTCATTAATATATTTTAAATAGTAAACAGTTAGTATGAGAATATCACATATCCTAATTCCATTCATCTAATACACTCCTCAGCTGAGATATCTAACACATCTTCATCGGTACTCTCTTCTATCTCTGGCAAGTTTCCCCAAAGCAGGGCGTTTACACCTGAAAACAAGAAGTCATAAAAGTTACCACTGTTGCAGTCCAGAACATGACATGTGAAATGTTATATGTTAACATTCTAATATAAGCAATAGTATTAGCAGAGAACAGTATAGCAAAATGTACATCCACTGTATTTACTGAAAACAAAATTATCTAAGTGATCCATCTAGGACATGAACATTCTTTCAGCCTTTTTAAGTGAGGACTTAAATTCCAGAATCTGAGAACTTAAGGCATCTCAGCAGTCCATTTACTCAAACCCTGCCTCCTTCCACGTTATGCCAGAATCACTCTACACTGATGATATTCTAATCTACTTTAATGACCTTTAAGGATGGAGAACTCACAAGATTCATTCAGATTAAGTGCCTCTTTGGCAGGGATAGGGAAAGTCCTGAATAAGTTTCCTGATCCTTCAAGAAGGAAAGATATGGCTGGTGCCATTTCTCTGATATAGGTGGGCTTCAACCTAAAGGGTTCCAAGCTGAAACTGTAAACTTTAATAATACCAGGTCACAGCAATTAATACAATAAGCAAAATAATAATTTACAATCTCATTGAGAAAGGATTGAGATTTCTTATGAAGAATCCAGTAGCGGCATACTCAAGAAAGTAGATTTTAAATTTTTTTTTTGCACCAAAATAAACTTATCTTTTAATTCCATTTTCTATGAACTTTTCAAAGTACCCTTATATAGCACAAGACCAAACATATGGTAGAAGATAATGAGATGGTTTATTCTGGGCACATACTGTATTTTAACTTAAAAGCATCACATTGAAAAAAATTGAACTCTAGGGGAGCCAATGAAATTCAACATGAAAAGCAAAACTCAAGCTGTCCACTTGTGTGGGCACAAGAAGGACTCAGCAGCTGTGGAAACTCACTCCAGCTACATGATGGAATGGAGCAAACCAGAGTTTGGGGATTTGGTTTGAATCTAATTTCTACCAGTACCAGTACTCTCTAGATGGTTTTACTACTTTACCATAAATGTATGCAACCACAGGCAAAATATATTATTGTTTTGAGTATTTAAATTTTTATAGAAGGGTATTAAACTACATATTTTTGTCTAACTTGCTTTTTTCACTCATTCTGTTTTTCAGGATTATGTTGCTATGCATAAATTTAGTGTATTTATTTTTATTTCTATACAGTATTATGTTATATAAAATGAAAATGAGAATGCATAAAGGCAAGGGGAGAGCTGAAGCTATTTTGCTTTTGAGAGTATTTGCCAATTCTGGGACTCTGAGCTGAGGTTCTCTCAGCCTCCTCAGGAAAGTTCTATAAAATCAGGTTGGTATATGAAGGCCAAACTGGCACACAGACCACCCTGGGGTCTGAAACCACCCCAGAATCCTACCAAGTATGTGTGCGTTCCTTGGGTACCACAGACCCAGGTGATTCAAGGACAGTTGTGATATCATGAGAAAGCCTCTTTTATAACAAGCATCTAGAAAGTCTTGCTTTAAGTCGCACTACAGAGGGCTACCCAGAGGAGTTCAGCATTCTTGGAGCTGATGCTCAAAGCCACGGAGCAGCTCCGTACAATTGGTTCAAAGGAGGAAAAATAAACTAAGAGATTGGATCTGACAGAAGCAGCACCTCCCTTTCTCTGTTAAGAAGGGAGGAAGGAAGTCCTGCGATGCATCTGTTTCTCATGGATTAGATTCAGTGTGAACGGAACAGCGCTGGGCTTTCATCTTTGAAAAATTGACCAATATTAAAAAGTAAATCAAAACTGAAAAATCTCCACCCTGTGTTTTGAATCCTATGAAGCAGGAAAAATAGTATCAAAGCAGAAACTTTCTTTAATGTATCCATGAGCAACACAAATATAAAACTAGAGAGCTAAATTAGGAAACCTATATCCCACTTAGGGAAATTCATCTTAAGTTCTTGTTTGAAAATGGGCCTCTTGATATACTGGTCTTAAATTAAGACCCCCAAATGATGGATTGAGAGCCACAGTTGAATCTCAGGTGATTATAAAAAAGAATCATGGTCTATAAAAATCCAAAAATAATTGGAGGGTTTAAAGAACTGACAACTAAGTTTGCAATTCATGATCTTTTGGTGTGTGAAGGCGAGTTATATTTTTTAAAAAGAATATATTTTAAGTTCCAAAGAAGACTAAAACATAGATTTAAAACCTGGTATAAATGCCAACTTAGACTGTCAAGTTCCTTAAAGTCAACTTGGTCTGTTATGTAAATAGATATTAGGCATTGGGAACATGTGTCCTATAACAAAACAGAAGGCTCCAGTCTATATAGGAAGTATTATGTAAATACTCTTCAAGAATTGAGAGTGTATTTTCTTTGTTTTGAAACTTATTTATTTATTTGAAAGGTAGAGGGACAGAAGGAGACAGAGAAACAGAAACAGACAGAAAGGATCTTCCATCTGTTGTTTCATTCCCCAAATGCCCAAAATAAGGAGGGCTGGGCCAAGAATTCTGTCTGAATCTTCTATGTGGGTGTCAGGGACCCAAATACTTGAGCCATCACGTGCTGCCTCTCATGGGGTGCATTAGCAGGAAGCTGGAATTGGAAATGAAGCTGGGACTTGAACTCAGGTATACTGATATGGAATGCAGGCACCCCAAATGGCATCTTAACCACTTGGCCAAAAACTTGCCAAGTATATTTTCTTATCAAAATGATGAGTATATTTTTTAAAATACTTCCCTTGACCAAAATTCTAGCATAATTTATTAATATAGGCATCAAAATATCTATTTTTATCATAAAGTACCACCAAATAGAGAGGTTACCTGGACCTCCCTCCCAACCTCCACTATTCCATCCTCTTCTCCCTCCCTTTCTTACACACACATACACATCCATGAATACTTCACTATCAAACTGAATCTCTATTTAACATGGTAGTTAAGACATCCTCGCCCTGCAGTGGAGTATCTGGGTTCAATTTTAGGCTCTGGTTCCTTATTCCTGCTTTGCACATTGTAGACCCTGGGAGGCAGTAGTCATGGCTCAAGTGATTGGGTTCTTGCCACCCTCATGGCAGAACTGGATTGAGTTCCTGGCCCCTGGTTGTGGCCCAGGCCCTGCTCTGGCTGTTGTGGGCACTGGGGAGTAAACTGGTAGACAGGAGCTCTTCTTGTGTCTCTGTAGCCCTGAGACTTCTCTGGGGTCAGAATATGTATCAAGGTAACAATTTAAGGCGATTAAGATATTAATTTCAAAAATCAAAAATCCAACAAAGTTTGAGGCCTTTTAAATACAATGATGAACATAGAAATGGCATGAAATTTGTTTTTCATTAGTGAACGTTTCAGGAAAATGGATTAAAGTTTCACTCTGGCTGATCCAATCTAGTTAAAAAGGCCTTGGAGGAATCCTGAAATGATCTCTTGGGATTTTCACTCAGGTATTGATAGAGAAACGTCTTTGAATGTGTAAGTCAATCGTTCTTACCTGTGGAGTCCAGTCTGTTAATATCATAGACGGCTTGGCTGTGAAACATCCAGAAGTGTCCGTTGTTGCAGGAAAGGAGGCAGGAACTACATGGAACAATCACATGATAGCCTACAATGTTTCCACTGAGAAAGACAGTAAACGTTATGAGATGCCATGCGATGCCTGGGCATATAAGCATTTTTATGTACTCAGGTAAATAGACCATATAATTTAGACCTCATTTACTGCAAACCACCTCCATTGCTGGGATAAGAGTTACTCTGATATTGGCTGCCACTCTGCCATCTAATGGGAAAATAGTCTTTCCATGAAGTGAAATAATACTAACAGTCTCACATTTCTTTGCTAGTAATATTTTATTTGTTCTGCCTCCACAGGTTAGCTTCTGGATGTCGAAAAGTTGTGATTTGCTCTGTAAAGCACCCAAAATTGCTGTTTTTACAGACAAAATATATTAAATAAACTCAAACCTGAGGGTAAAAGTTTACATTATCCCCAGGACTGTGACAAGTTGGGTTCTTAAATGTTCTAGTTCTAAGCCAATAACTATTTCAACAGATGGAGGAGTAGGAAGACAGCATGAGTCCCTGTACACCAAACACAGGCTGGATGCTCTAATTTTAGTTGCAGTGTTTTTGAAGGAATTCAGAAATAAAGCCTCTAGAGAAAGTTGAAAAAGTTTTTTACTGTCTTCAGCATTATCCAGCTGAATATAAGTACCTCTCTGCTTAACAAGCTTAACAATTTTTTTTTTTTTTTTTACTGGTCACATATTACATAGAGAAAACGTATTAGCCATGTTTTTGTATTTTTGTTAAAATAGCAACATGAACTGTCTTTACCTTGAGTTGTAAAAATTCTTATTATAACTTGGTCTAATCCTGTTAGATGTGGGAGTCAGCCACTTTTGTGAGACCCTATAAAGAGTATTATAAAAGGTACCAGCTCGCCTAAAATATACTGTCTCATTATAACCTGCTTGAAAGGCAACCAAATGAAAACAAGAGCTGTTCTTGGAAGATTATAGTGCAAGAGTAAATCTTGCTTTAAGTAGCACCTGTATTCATTTCTTTCTCCGTTCCTTCACCCACTCAACTAATGTTCAGTGAGCATCTACTATTTGCCAGGAGTTGTTCTGGGTGCTTAGAATCCAGCAATGGATAAAATGAAGCCCTGGTTCTCATGGAGCTAACACTCTGATGGGGATAAATCAGATTATTTTGTTCTCTTGTTAAATCCCCATTAGTGGTTTTCCACTGGCCAAAAATTAAAAAAAAAAAAAAAAAATCTTCCAGAAACTCTCATTGTGGCCCAGTGGGTTAAGCTGCTGCTTCTATCACAGCATCCACCTTGGAGTGCACAGTTGGAGTAGCAGCTACTCTGCTTTCTATCTAGCTTCCTGCCAACATGCCTGTGAGGGCAGCAGGAGATTGGCTCAAGTGCTTGGGTTGCTGGCATGCACATGGGAAACCAGGATGGAGTTCCTAGCTTCTGGTTTTAGCCTGGCCCAGCCTGGGATGTTGAGGCCATATAGGAAGTAAACCAGTGGATAGAATACTTCTCTCTGACTCTCCCTCTTTTCTATATTGCTGTTTCAGATAAATAAATAAATAAATCTTAAATTAAAAAAAAAAAAAACTGGGGAGGTTAGCATTTCTTTTTTTTATAAAGATCTATTTATTTGAAAGTCAGAGTTACACAGAGAGAAAAGGAGAGGCAGAGAGAGAGAGAGAGAGAGAGAGAGAGAGAGAGATAGGCCTTCCATCCACTGGTTCACTCCCCAACTGGCTGCAATGGCCAGAGCTGTGCTGATCTGAAGCCAGGAGCCAGGAGCTTCCTCCGGGTCTTCCTACATGGGTACAGGGGCCCAAGGACTTGGGCCATCTTCCACTGCTTTCCCAGGCCATAGCAAAGAGCTGGATCAGAAGCAGAGCAGCCAGGACTTGAACCAGCACCCATATGGGATGCTGGCACTATAGGTGATGGCTTTACCCTCTATGCCACAGTGCCCGCCCCAAGTTTAGCATTTCTTAGGCAGGCCACCCCAATCAACATTTTTACCCTGAATCCAGTGATTTTTATATTGGTGTGGTACTGGGATCGTGCTTCAAAAAATACTGGCACTTCCAAGAAAAACCCACTTTGCCTTACAATGTGAGCCTGGAAAAGATTCAGACACACAGAGCTGCCATAAGGAAAGGAGGGGACAGGAAAGTAAAATCAACATTGCAGCCTTTACTGCAACTTACAGCTTCCTTGTAACTTCACCCCCAGAAGAGTATGCCCCATTGCTACCCGGTTATCTTGTTCGTAGGAAACGAAGTATTTTGATTCTTTACAAGAGCTGATGACTTAATGATGGCTTAAGTTTTGCCTGGCCTCTGTTCACCTGTTAATTAAAGGCCCTGGGATGGTGTTGTAGTGCAGTGGGTTAAGCCTCTGCTTGCAAACAATGCCAGCAACCCATATCAGAGTGCCCACTGGAGTGCTGACTTCTCAGCTTCAGATCCAGCCACCTGCTAATGTGCCTGTGAGGGCAACGGATGAAGGTCTGAGTGCTTGGGTCCCTGCCACCCATGTGGGAGACCTGGACAGAGTTCCTGGTTCTGCCTGGCCCAGCCTGGGCTACTGCAGCCATTTGGGGAGTGGAGTAGATGGAAGCCATCTCTCTCTCTCTCTCTCTTCCTCGCTCTCTCTCTCTCTTCCTCTCTGTTGCTTTGTCTTCCAAAAAATAAATCTTTTGTAGAAAAATTAAAAATAATAGTAATAATAGTAAAAAACCCTCTATAAAAAGGTCTAGATCTGTGCTGTCTAAAATAATAGCCACTAGCCACAAGTAGCTACTGAGCACTTGAAATGAAGCTGGCCAGAATTGAGATGTGCTGTAAAACACACACCAAATTTCAAAGACTAAGAACAAAAAAACAGAATGTAAAATATTTTACTAATAACTTATGTTGGTTATATGTTGAAATGATATGTTGGATATATTGGGTTATATAAAATATGATTAAAATTAACTTCACCTCTTTCTTTTTACTTTTCAAACTATTACTACTAGAAAATTTTTAAATTGCCTATGTGGCTTGTATATTTCTATTGTGCAACACTGCTGTGAGTATCTGGGTTCTGGCTCTATCTTTAACCTACTCACGCCCTCCTCTCCTGTGACTATGTCACAACCACACCAGCCATCATCTTTTACTCCATTTACTCATTTATTTTTATTTGAAAGGCAGAGAGAGATCTTCCATCTGCTGGCTCACCCCTAATGCTAGCCAACAGTCAAGGCAGGATCAGGCCAAGGCTGAGAGTTCAGTTGGGTTTCCCATGTGGGTGGCAGGGACACAAGTACTTGAAAAATCACTGGCTCCCTCCCAGGGTACAAATTAACCAGCAGCTGGAATCAGAGGAGCCAGGAGTCCCACCTAGGCAGTCTGGTAGGAGATGCAGGTGTCCCAAGTGGGGTCTTAACCACTATGCCAAACACCCACTGCCTTTGATCCTTTGGACATGTTAAGCAACTTGTCATGGTCCTTTTCATTTGTTCACGCCTAGAGCATTCTTCCTCTAGCTCCTTCTCATCTTTTCAGACTTAACTGCAATATTACCTCTTTACGAGAAGATGTCCCTGACCACAGTATCTAAAATACTAACATCCACTTTCCCAATTTCTATTTTCTCTGTCATATATTATTATTATTTCCTTTGGGGTACTTCCCACCATATTACATACCTTATTTATTCAAATATCTTATTTATTGGTTATTTTCCCACTAGAATATGATGCCCAAAGGCCAGTGATTGAATTTTGTTTATTGTTGTGTTTCTAGTCCCTAGCACATGGTAGTTCCTTGATATAAATATAGCTTGAATGAATGCAATCAAATAGACATAAGCCCATAAGAAGAGTTTGCTGACTTCAATCACAAGAATTATAATTTATAATCCAAATATTATTTAAATGAGAAAAATCGCAATTTTCTTCTCTCAAAAACAGGAATAGTGGGGCCAACGGCGCAGTGGGTTAACACCCTGGCCTGAGGCGCCGACATCCCATATGGGCGCCAGTTCGAGACACAGCTGCTCCAGTTCCAAGCCAGCTCTCTGCTATGGCCTGGGAAAGCAGTAGAAGATGACTCAAGACCTTGGGCCCCTGCATCTGCGTGGGAGACCTGGAAGAAGCTCCTGGCTCCTGATCGAAGCAGCTCCGGCCGTTGTGGCCAACTGGGGAGTGAACCATCGGATGGAAGCCCTCTCTCTCTCTCTTTGCGTAACTCTGACTTGCAAATAAATAAATAAATCTTTAAAAAAAATAGGAGTAACACAGATCCACCTGTGAAAAGATAACAATAGCTCTTATATGTGATATAATTTATAATTCATTTCATCTTCATAATTTTATAACATAAATACAGAAGACATATCTACAGAAGATATAAATTAAATAAGGAGGGGTGGGCATTGTGTTGTGGCCACATCCTTGGGACACTGCCTCCAAGGGTACCCACATCCCATATTGGACTACCTGGTTTGAGTCCTGGCCCCTCTGCTCCCAATCCGGCTTCCTAATGTGGCCTAGGAGGCAGCTCAAGTGCTTGGGCTCTTGCCACCCACATGGGAGAACAGGTGGAGTTCCAGGCTCTTGTTTTGGCTTGGCCTAGCCCTGGTTGTTGTGGACATTAGGGGAGTGAACAAGCAGATGGAAGATCTCTCTCTCTTGCTCTGCCTTGCAAGTAGATAAAAATAAATAAACATTTCATAAAGAAGAAATTAAACAAGAAAACAGAGGTTTGGAGGTTTAAAGTTTAAGGAGCTTACTGAGGATCACATGAAGAGGGGTAAAACTTGGGCTCAAGTCTCACTTTTACGACTATAAGCCCAAGTATTTTTCACCCTAGACTACACTGTTGTGTTCTGAAAATTAAAGCAGATACCTGTGAGTGCACTTTGAAAAATTACAAAATCATATACAAATGTGAAGTCCCACAGACTCTTTAAAAAATAGCTCAAAGTAACAAATGGTTTTTCAACGGCTCATTGCATGGGTTATATCAGTGCCTGCTGCAGCCCACTGAACCTTTCTCTATGCTTTTGTGCCAACATCCATCTTCCAAACCCAGGGCTGTCTGGAACATTGCCACAAATTACCATTTTAAACATGCGATGTCCTTCAGTTTACATTTGCAGATTTCGGTGAAATAGCTTCTTCCAATGAAGTCTACTGCACTGGGGATGGAAAGGATTAGAGACAGTCAAATGAGCTTCAAGAAAACAATAATTGTGGCAAACACACACACATAACATTTACCATTGTAATCATTTCCTTTAAAATGTATTTATTGAGAGAGAGAATGAGAGAGAGAGATTTTTCATCTGCTGGTTCACTACCCAGATGGCTGCAAACATCTGAAGCTGGGAGCCAAGAACTCCATCTGGATCTGTCACGTGGGTGGCAGGGGCCCAAGTACTCGGGTCACCTTCTGGTCCCTTCCCAGGCACATTAGCAGGGAGCCAGATTAGAAGCATAACAGCCAGGACTTGAATTGGCATGCCGATACGGGATGTCGTCACTGAAAGTGGTGGCTTAACCCACTTTACCACAACATCAGCCCTCATTGTAACTATTTTTAAGTATACAGTTCAGAATTGTTAAATGCAGTCACATTATTTTACAATGAATTTTTCAGATCTTTTTTATCTTGTAAAACTGAAACTCTATACTTATTCAAAAACAAATCTCTATTTCCCTTTCCTTAGGTTCCTGGTCACCACCATGTTGCTTTCTATTTCTGTGAATTTGACTCTTGTAGATACCTCATATAAGTGAAACCATGTAGTACGTGTCTTTCTGTGACTAGTTTATTTCACTTAGCATCCATGGTGTAGCGTGTAACAAAATTTTCTTTTTAAAGCTGAATAAATATACTATTATATGTACATCACAATTTGTTTTTCCATTTATTTGTCCAGTTAATGGGCATTTTGATTGCATCTACCCTACCCCTTGGCTATTGCAATGACTATGGATGTGCAAGTGTCTCTTCAAGATCCTGTTTTCAGGGGCTGGTGTTTGGTCAGTGGTTAAGTCGCACTTTGAGACACTGCCTGGTGTTTTGAGACTGCCTGGTCCAAGTTCTGGCTCCTCTGCTTTGGACCCAGCTTCCTACTAATGTTTATACCCTGAGAGGCAACAGGTGATGGCTCAAGTACATAAGCTCCTGCAACCCACAGGGAAGAACTGGATTGAGTTCTGGGATCCTAGCTTCAGCCTGGCTCAGTCCTGGCTGTTGCAGGCTTTGTGAGTGGACCAGCATATGGAAGATCTCTGTCTCCCAAATAAAATTAAAATATATACTTTTTTTTTTAAAAAAGAAAAGATCTTGATTTGAATTCTTTTGGATATATACCCAAATGTGCAAGTGCTAAATCATATAGTAATTGCATCATTAATATTTTTGAGAAACCACCATACTATTTTCCGAAATTGCTATATCATTGTACATTCTCATAGTACATAAGGGTTCCAGTTTCTCCACATTCTTACCACCAAATGTACATTTAATTGTGATTTAGCATACACTTTATAGTTCCAAAGTACTGAAAGAGATTCTAAAGTAGAGCTATAGTATATTTTGTAAGAATCAGTTAATATTTTGAGCTTACACTAAATGGCAAACCTTGTTTAAAAATTAATTTGTGGTCACTGATTCATACACATCTTGATTATAACTCCTTCAAAGAAGACAATAGAAAATATCTGATTCTAAACTGCTCTAACCTATAAGAATTCCCTTATCTGAGCCTTTCTGTGACTGCCTTAAAACCATAACTTTTGCAAAAATGAATGGGTTAACATTTTAAATTTGTATATGTATATAGTACTAAAAGGAAAAAGTACTAGAAGTAAATCATAGAAGTTTTGCAACAGTAGGTTTTGCTTTATTGTTTAGTTTTTTTTAAACACATACAAACTTGAACTATTAACCCATTTAACTCTGCAACAAATGAGAACTGTTGGCTTGCTGTTAGGCATAACTACACTAAAGATAATTCAGAAAAGGTTTCAAAGGAGGTAAAGGCCACAGCTTTACTTGGGTATATTTTATAACTTTTAATGTTTCTATCACTATCATAGAATTCATTTACAATGAATTACACTTATCTGCCTGATTCTTCTGGCTCTGAGTCCCAAGACTTGGAGAATGGCTGTTCACTCTTATTTTGAATAATTATTTTAGTTATAATAACAAAGCTTCAATAAAGAACTAAATCTTGAAAATCTTGTGGGGCAGATATGTTAACTATATCTAAAAAAGTACCTTTTGAGATACAAACATGTATATTTGAGTCAAATAAAAATGGCTGTTTTATTAAACAGAAAGCAAATTCTTAAGGACTCTACATTCAAAAGTGGGTATTGGCCGAAACCAGATTTTAAAAGGGTTCAATTATGCAAATAAAAGGTATAATATCCCAAACAGGCTTTGAAGGAGAAAGGGATTACTTTAAGGCCAAGTCTCAATTTTTCCACGCATAAAAAGCTGTTTAAATCTCAAGCTCTCTCTCTCTTTGGAAAAAAGATTATTGAATTCAATAGACAATGGTTCAGATTCAACATACCAACTGCAAATCATGTTGGAAAACGGATTTTGTTTTGTGGGAGAAAATTTATGGACAAAGCCAAAATACTTAAACGACCTCTCCTCTAAAAAGCCCAGAAAATCTTGCTTGAATTGACCCAGGGTTTAGGTCAGGGACCTGATTCAGTGACGGGATGGCTGGGCAAGGGCACCGCGCCCAGGGATCCAACTTGAGGACGCCGCGGTCACGTGGCTATCACTGAACCCCGAGCACTGATGATCGATTACACCAGGACGGACAGCTTTGGCCAAACCACAAGCTCTGCCCAGACAGGCTGCCCCTCGTGGATACCCGGGGGCGTCCTCAGCCGGTGGGGAGTGGTCGGGGCAGGGATACGGTAAGCAGCGACGCCAGCCGCGCCCTCCGCGGGGAGGAGGCCCCGCCGCCCGCCTCACTTACTTGGTAGGTGGGATGTCCGTGGAGAAAAGGTCGATCTCGGTGTCGGCCAGCAGCACGGCCTTCATTCCCCGGGAGCTGAGCACCTGCTGGCAGAACCTGCAGCACAGCACCGACACGCAGCGGTCCTCGAAGCTGCAGCTGCCGGTGGTCATGGCGGCCCGAGCAGGAGCAGGTGTGCGCCTCGAGAGCGCAGCCCTCCCTACCCACAGCGACTGCCCCGGACTGAGGAAAAATCAAGTCGCGAGTCCTGAAGGTGGGCGGGAGGAGAGTCCTTTGCTGATTTCCCGGGAGCGGAGTAAAGGGCCAGGGCACGGCAGCAAGGGAGTGGGGTCCGCAGGGAACCCCCCACGCACAGCTCGCCCTCTCTGCGGGCTCACGGGGTTCTCCCGTCAGGAATCGCCTCCGCCTTCTCCCTGGCCAGCATCAAGCCCCTCTCACGGATCGCGTCTGCTTCCCGGGATTCAGAACCCCCTCGGCTTCCCCCCGGGACCCTCCCCGGTTCCCCCCAGTCCCCGGCTCAGCCCGCGCGCTAGCCCCTCTCCGGGCAGCCCTTGCCCTCAGCGAGCTCTCGCCCGCGCCGTTTTCTGCCGGGAACCCCGCGCGTTTTCCTCAGGTTGCCTCCCGGAGCGGCCGCTCCCCCAGAGAGCGGCGTGGTTCGCGGCGCGGGGCGGAGGTCTCTTTCTGGGCTGGGTCTACGCTGGGATCTGTCACCGAACACGCCGTTTTGGGCTACTTCTTCCGCCTTCTCTGCGCTTCCAACCGGCTGTCAGTTTGAATTGCCAGCGCAGCGCACCGATTGGCGGAGCTGGAGTTCGCCCACGTCCCGCATTGGAAGGCCCCCTGATCCGAGCTCAGGGGCGTGGAGGCCGCACGCCCCGCCCCAGTAACGGTGCCGGGATCAGCTCGGATTTCTGGTAGGGCGATCGAGGTTCCGCCTCCCTCCTTATTGGTCGGCTTCGGCAGGTTAGGCAAACCCTGCTCCCGCCCTGGTATTAAGGACCGAGACACGCCCTTCCCGCTTCTTATTGGAAGTTGTTCTACAGCTCCCGCCAGCCTCTACTCTCTATTGGTTAAAATTCCCCGCAACGCCCCGCCCCTCTTCCGCGGTCCAATTGGTCGTGCCTCCTCTCAAGAGTTTGGGTTTGGTTGTTCGTTCCCTCTTAATCCCGCCCCTCAACTCTGCTCTGGGCTTCGACAACCCGGGGCGGAGCTGACTCGGTGACCACGCCTCGGCAGTGAGCGCTAGTCACACCTCCAAGTTTCGTCAGCTCCTCCCCCTTATTCCCGGCCTCTCGGAATCGGCTACTGCTATTGGCTAGAGGTCCTATCGGTCGATAGAAAACGGGCGGTGATTGGCAAGGGGGTGGGTTCTGCTTCCCGGCGGGGTCCTGCGGAGTTGGCGGAGGCTTCTCTAGGGACTGGGGGGCCGATCTGCGTAGAAGCGGGTGGCGGGCAAGAGAGGGGGAGAGCTCTGAGTGGGAAGCGGAGCTGCGGGCCTGGGACCCGTCGCGTCAGAGCCAGGTAAAGGCTCCTTCCCTCTCCTCTTTCTTCCCGGCCGCCGGGCTGGAGCCCTGACTGAACAAACCCGGGCTGGGGAGGGAAGCAGAGGGTACGGATGCTGCTCGCGGCAGCGCCTTCGCGGTGCCGCCCGGAGTCCCTCAGACCACCCCCCCCCCGCCCCCGACCCTCTCCGAATCTCCCTGTGCAGCCCATAATACTTCTCAGGACCGCCTGTCTCTCCGCCCATCATCGCACAAGCCTGGGAGTCTGCCCGGGTTCGCGAACCGCAGCGCAGCCCGCACCCAGCCCCCTCCCCAGGTCCTCCGCACGGGCGCGCCGCTGGGCCCCTCGGGGCAGCGCCGTTGGCATCATCCGTCAGCAGCGAGTGGCCTCTTCCCCTGTCTCCAGGCCCTGGCAGACAGCCCGGGTCCCAGCCCAGGACCCAGGAGGATGGGTGTTCCCACAGCTTCCGGGGCTCTCTCCCTGTCCCACCCCCGGCCCGCCCCGATCGGCTCTCTTCCCCACTCCAGTCCTCGGACCCGCGTCCCGGCGCCCGGAGTTGCTAACAGCCGTGCCCTTCGCCGGGGGCGGCAGCTCGTGGTCGCCTCCCCCTGCCCCTCGCCCCTACGGCAACCCCTCGTCGTTGCCCGCCCTGCAGGCATGTGCAGCTCCAGGCGTCCGCGGGTTCCCGGCCAGCCTCGGGACCCCAGCTCACGCCCGCCTCCGCGCTTCCTGCCGCGCGAGCCACGCTGCCTCCGCTCCCTCTCCCTGCCCCTGTCTGTGCGGGCCTCCCTCCGGCTGCGGGAAGCGGGAGACACCGGCGCGAGCCCCTCCTCCCGGCTCCCAGAGGGCAGGGGGCGAGCGAGGAGGAGGAAGGGTCGCCGCCGCCGCGCGCCGGGGAGCCAGACGCCCGTCTCCGCGCTCCCGCCCGCGCCCCTCCGGCCTCCTGGGCCGCGGCTGCGGCGGCGGGCTCTCCGCGGGCACCTCCTGGCGCGAGGAGCCGGGATTGCGACCCTCCTCCTCCTCCCCTCGCCCCGAGCCTGGGATTGGGTGCGGTATCTGGGCTCGCTGGGCACGGGTGACAAAAAATATTGGGGGTGGCATTTGGAGTCACTCTCGCCCGTGGCTTGGGGGGAGGCGATGGCTGCCTTCCGCCCCCCGCCCCTCGGTTTCCCGGCCCCGACCCTCGCCTCTAACCCGTTTCCTGCTTCTGCCGACCACATTGTTTTCCTGGATGTGTCCCGTGCCGAGCAGGCTTTTTCCTGCAGATCCCCCCCCCCCGCGCCCCATTTTGCTGCCAAGAGAAGCTAGTAACCAAAAACAAAACAGCGGGGAGGAGGGGCGGCAGCGGAGAAAAGTTGTGCCCGGGCGGCGTGTCCCTCTCCGGCTTTGATCCCCTTTGATGTCCTGGGAGGTGCCCCAGCCGGGGGTCGGGGACCGCGTCGGAGGCTGGGCCGGGAGGGCCCCCTCGGGCTGGCCGCTGCCCAGCGCCGGCGGAGCTCGGAGGCCGCCGAGGTGCCGCAGTCCCCGCCCGGAGCCCCGCATTCCCGCCGCAGTCCCCGCCCGGAGCCCGCGCAGGCGGCTGCTCCACAGTGTTTTCTCTGAGCCTTAAAACCAAACCCGGAGGGAGCGTCCTTGCTCCCCGGCCAGGCGGCGGTTGGCCGAGATGAATGGGCCCAGGCCGGGCTCCGGGCGACGTCCCCTACCCCACCCCCGCGGCGATTAGGATCTGCGCAGGGGCTGATCGCCCCCTCCCCCTTTTCCTGCATTTACAGGCAAGTGAACCGGAGCAAACGACTTCCGATCCAGTCCGCGCTGCTGCGGCTCCCGTTTGGGATTTGATTTGCAGCATCTTCGAGCCTGTACGACAAAAAAAAAAAAAAAAGAAAAGAAAAAAAAAAACCCGCGAAGCACGCCCAGCCCTCCCCCGGCACCCCGATAACGCACCCACTCCCTCCCGGGGACACAGCTGGGCGCGTCCACACCCCCGCACCCCTACATCATGTTGTGCGGAAGGACTTCCACTCCCTGCCTGTGTCGTTGATGTCAGACCCCAGGCCAGCCTCCGGGCGCTGCAGTTCTCCCGGCTAATGCTGAGGCTGCGGCTCCGCTAGCACAGGAACCGCACCCGGCCCCGGCTTCCACCGTCTGCATGTGCCCGCCTTAGCCGCCTGCCCAGCCCGCAGCCCGCGCTCCCCGCCGCGCTGGAGACCACCGCGGGGGGCCCCTTCTGCCCTCTGGAGAAGCGGTCTTGGAGGTATTGATTTCGGTGGTTGGATTCTTCCCGTGGATCTATCAATTCATTATTCGAATTTGGAAGAAAGAGGGAAAACATGACGTCTCCAGCCAAATTCAAAAAGGATAAGGAGATCATAGCGGAGTACGATACTCAGGTCAAAGGTAAGGGCTTTGAAAAACAGCAGATGCATGGACCGTGTGGGCTGGCGGGGCGTGTGTTGCTACTGTCATCAGCAGGCTGTGCATTTCTTTGGGTGGAGCGCGTTGGGGCAAGCTGACCCCAGAGGTGGGTTTCCTAGGTGGGTCTTAGCCGCTGAAGATGGGCAGTGCCGATGCCACAGGCGCTGGAGAGGAATTCTCAGAGTGGGCCTTAGGGGTGCCCCTGTGGAGCTGGCCATAATTTTGGCAGCCCTTTCCCCCCAGGCCGGACCCGGTGGGGGAGGGGCAGGAGGTTCTTGGAGAGAGAATGGCGGCACTTTGCCTCCACATGTCTGGGTCAGGTTTCCTTGAAGGACAACTGAGATCTGACAGGTGTTTGGTCATTCATTCCGGAGGGTGAAGAGCAGTCCATACAGAGAAAGGCAACCTTGAGAGAAGGTGGACCCCGTGGAGAGCCGTGGGAGGGGCGGGGCTTTCTTTTCTGATGCGCTCTATTAAAACGGGAGATTTGCTGTGGCACTGGGCACAGGGAGTCCATAGCCACCTTGGGCGCACCTTGTACCTGCCTGATCCCGGGTCACCCACCCTGTGTGCAATCAGAGCAGAGAACAGGAAGAATAAGGCCACCCACATGCGGTCCCCGCCTCACCTCAATCTAAACAGAGTTGGGTGTTAGGGTTGCTGGGTGGCGCTGATTCTGGAAAGTGGGAAGACAAAATTGTTTAACCCTTCTGTGTCGTGCCCCTCTGCTCTGGAGTACACGTTTTCAAAGCCCCATTAACTGATCTGCAACAATGTGGGTGTGGAGAAGCCCAGTGACCTGTCTCCTCGTAGTCCACTGCCTGACTCTGCTGGTCCATTAGAGCTCATGTCCAGGTAGCCTTTTCTTAGCCAGCAATTCCCTTAGGAGGGCTGCTTGCCAGTGAATGAGCCCTAGCGTGTGTTTGTGCAAGGCCCTGTCCCTTCCTGGTCAGTTACTGGAAAGAGCCATGTGGCTGAGGCTCTGAGACCTTAACTGGGGAGTGGGAGAGGTGGGTGGCCTTGAATGTTACGCCACATGGTTGGAGCTCTGGATTTTCCTTTGTTTCAGAGTACAGAGGGAGGGGCCCCTCCTTTCCCTGCACCAATGCAAGGAGACTTTTTTCCTATCATAGAGGACTTGGGAAAGGCCTTGTTTCCTGGATAATGATTGCCTGGGGTGGGGGGTAGGGATAGAGTGTGAAATGGGCAGCTCTCTCATCTCCTGCATGGTTGGAAGGTAGTTTGGAGTCTCCATTGTGCCTGCAGGAGTTTTTTTTTTTTTATGTCATCGGTTTGGTCAGTGCTGTAGGTGCCCTAAGGGACCTTCTATCCACTTGGCTGCAGATATTGGTAGGTTTATTACAAAGGTGGGGGAGTGGACTGATTGATAGCTTCAGTTGAACTGGGATTGAGAGAGGTGTGGTTGTGAGTTATAATTGAGGTCTTGGCCTCTTGTCAGTGTTCCTAATCCCGGCCTGTTTTTGTAAACAATAGGCCACTGGCCTTGGTGTCCTGTCCCGATGCACTGCATTCTGCTCTTGGAATGCCCCCTGCAGCTCTAACCAGAGATTTCTTTTTCATTCTTTCCTTCTTTTTCCTCCATATCCCATTCTTAACTCTTGCCGTAAGGAGTGTTAATAACTTTGACTTTCCCAGATTTCTCTCCAGAAGCATGCCAGTTGACTAAGGTGCAAAGTGATTTTACATGTTTATTTTTTAGATGGTTCAGGGCTGATAGATTTTAATAGAACTGTGTCTGCCAGTTGGTAAAGGATTTCTCACGAGTGTCTCAAAATTAAACACTTTGTGTATTTACAAACGTTGCTCATTGAGATGATGTAATGCAGTCTGCTCTTTGGGGTTTCTCTTCAACCTTGCCATAGGCAGGAGACTGTTTTGCTTTGCTCTGATATTTTTCCATTGACGCTGTTCAGGATCATAGAATTTTATAGGTGGCTGAGTGTGATGTCTTACTCAGAGAAGGCACCCCATGAATGCTTATGACGCTGATTTGAATCATTACATCCCTCATTTTACAGCTGAAAAGAATACAGAGAACTGAAGAGGCTTGGCCAAGGTCACACAGCTAGCTAGGTGGTAGCAGATCTTAGACTAGAAGCGGTTTTACTGATTCCCAATTCCCCATTCTGTATTTATGATGAAACACTCTGACCAGGGTGAGACAAAAAAAAATTACAAATTTTAAGGAACTAAAATCAGTCAATGAATAATAGTAGTTATAACAATAATTTACATTTGGGTGCTCATTATATTCTAGCCTGTCCCAAGTGCTTTTACATGAATGATCTGGTTTAATCTTCACGTCACCCCAGGAAGTGGGTATTATTATCACCTTCCATTCACCTCAGGAGGAAACAGTTTAGAGAGGGTTGCCCTTCCAAGGTCACACAAACACCGCAGTCTGACTTCATTCTTTTATTCAGCAGCCACTTATTGACTACCTACTGTGTGTCCTGTGGTCTGGTGACACCACAGTGAAGAAGACAGGGCCCTTACCCTCAAAGAGTTTATATTCTAGAACTTGTGCTCTTTATGGAAGAACACAGAACTTGGAAATAAAGGACTGGGGTTCTACATTGATCCTGACCCCCCCACCCCCACCCCGCCCCCACTGTCTGGAAGCTCTGGGTCAGAATTCTGAGTTTCAGGGTTTTTTGTATTATATGAGACCCGTGCTGCTGCCTGCCTTACTTGTCTTAGAGATGCCAAGGGAAAAAAGAAAATTGCTGTAATAGTAAAGCAGTTTGGTTTGGTGGTTTATGAGCGCAGGTTTAGAGTTGAAGGAATCCAGGTTTAAATCTCGCCTTTCACATCAGGCAGGTTGTCTGAGCCTGTTTCCTAATTAGAAAAGCAGGAAAAATAGTGTGCGTTTCCTAATGCAGTTGTGAGAAGTCAAGGAGATAGTATGAGTGCATCGTTTAGCACAGTATCTGGCACTCGTGAGTGCTGGAATGGTGCAATCCACTTATCTTTTGGTGAGCCTTCCTTCTAGCTGAATTGGGCCAACTAATAAGACTGCATTGCTTGTTCACTCCCAGAGCTCTAGCTGTAAGTATTAGGACATAAGCCTAGGAAGGAAGCTTGGGTTCTAGTTTAAGAGCATCCACTAGTAACAAAAGGTACCTTGCATCCGTCATATGAACCCTTTGGACATCAGTTGCCTCTTGCGTAAAAGGAACAGATGAATTGTGCGTCTCTGGGCTACCAGAGTCCTGCTCCTGCTTCTCACCTGGCTTCTGCTTTTCAGTTGGAATGGTTTGAAGCAGGTGAATTCTAAATGGATTTTGGTGTTCGCCTCTCCTTAAACCACCTGCTTACAAGAGCCCTGGAGGACGTCTGAGGCTGGGGCCGAGCTCAACCCCAGTGTGGTTTCATAAGGGGCATGCCTCTTTCATCGGCCTGCCTTGTAGCTGCCTTCTTAAAAACCGTCATTGTTTCTGGTTTGTGGGTGTTCAGATTCCTTTGAAAGTTCATGCCTCTCAGTGTCTGACTCGAAAGCAATATTCTTAGCTTTTTTACATAGGCCTTTCCAGTTTACAAAGCACTTTCATAGACATTAATCTCTGGAAATTCTTTACAGCCTTGGTAAGATTCATGGTCATAACTTGGGGCCTTTGACCTCTAGCCTGTTAGCTTCTTTGCTGGGATTGGAACACTGTGGTTAAGGAGCACACCCTGGTTACTAGGGGTGATCGTTTGGTGATATTTGGGTGAATTCATATCACTGCATACAGTCCTAGCTATTGTTCTTTCCTTACTCTGCCCCCTCCCTTTTCCTTCTCCATACCTTGAGTTTTTCTAGTCTTTCAGAAGGCTTGAAATCGACAGTTAGTGCAAATGTATCAGGAAGAATAGTCTGAAACAGAGTGGCACTGTGTACTAAGCAGTGAAATTCTCTTTCTTGAGAACATTGGGGGTCTTGTCTTTTTTTTTTTTTTTTTAAATATCTTCGGAGAATGGTGTGTGTGCACCACAGAGCTGAGAAGTGAAATTTTGCAATTTCCATCTGGAGCATTTTGATAGAAAAAGCATAGGCCTTTGCTGGGAACACTTTAACCCTTTCAGGACCCTTTGAGAGCAGGAGATGAAATTTCAAACCCTGGTCATATTGTGTGTGCACACACATGCACTTGGGAATGCTGATTGCTGGTATTTAAACAAGCCTGTTCCCCAGGGAGGTTTGAGCGGTTCTTCACTATGCCAATGAAGGTCTTTTCCGAAGCTTCTTTTGTCCCAACCCCCACACCCCAAGGGAGCTTTAAATATAATCAGTTTGTGAAAAGCTGCAGTAAAACATCCCCTTGGAATCCCCAAGCAGATGCTATCATCTTCCTGTGAGATGATTGAGGGCTCCTCTTCCCTTGCTCAGGGAAAATAGCAACTCTGCAGTAAGGTGGATTCCTGGAAGAAAATGAAGCTCTTGGGAAAATTCGAGTACTCTGCATCTCAGAGTTGAAAGACCCTGGAGCAGGTGGTGGGCCAGGAGCCAGGGGATGCTGTGTGCTATTCGAAGCTGCAAATTCAGGAGGGATCTTTAGCTTTTCCAACTTCAGACCTTCTTTTGGGGAATGGGAACAGACATTTCCTTTGGAGAAGCCTATCTGGTAGTTACAGCCTCATCCCTTTTGCACTGTATGGGTTGAAAGATAAGATGAGGAGAGATCCTTTATCCACTCTGAAGTTTACAGGGTCAGACCTGGTCCTGGTATGTAGGGTCCACACCCTTTTGAAATCAGCAGGTGCCCACACCCCACTTTAATTCCATCTTTTCATTCCAGTCAAGCTCAGTATCTGTAGAGTTCGCCTTTCGGAAGAGAGGTTCTTCATGGAAATTGCTTTTTCCTTACACCCCAGACCCCTGAAGGCTGCATTAGGGAAGTATTGTCATGCTGTGAAGAAGCACTTGATAGGTAGATTTCCACTGGTAATAAAAGTCAGGTGAGCGATTTTAACCTGATATC